AAAAAAAAAAGAGATTCTCTTGCCTCAGCCTCGCAAGTAGCTGGGACTACAGGTGCCTGCCACTACACCCGGCCATTTTTTTGTTGCAGTTATTGTTTAGCTGGCTACCTATTGTTTAGCCCACTATCCTTGGTGCAATGTGGCTGGTGCCATAACCACCACTGTGCTACAGCTGCCAAGCCACACAATTATTTAATTTTTAAAAAGCAAAAAAAAAAAAAATACACAATGGCCAACAAACATGAAAAAAATGCTCAATATCACTAGTCTTTTTTTTTCCCTAGAGACATTGTTGCCCTTGGTACAGTGCCATGGCATCACAGCTCACAGCAACCTCCAGTTCTTGGGCTTAGGTGATTCTCTTGCCTCAGCCTCCCAAGTAGTTGGGACTACAGGCGCCCACCACAGCACCCGGCTATTTTTTGTTGTTGCAGTTTGGCCAGGGCCAGGTTTGAACCTACCACCCTCAGTATATGGGGCCAACACCCTACTCACTGAGCCACGGGCGCCACCCCCCCCCTTTTTTTAATACAAATTTATTTCACCAATTTTTTTTTTTTTGAGACTGTATCTCAAGCTGTTGCCATGGGTAGAGTGCTGTGTCATCACAGCTCACAGTAACCTCACAGCTCACAGTAACCTCACAGCTCACAGTAACCTCAAACTCTTGGGCTTAACTGATTCTCTTGCCTCAGCCTCCTGAGTAGCTGGGACTACAGGTGCCTGCCACAACGCCCAGCTATTTTTTGGTTGCAACTGTCAATTGCTTAGCAGGCTTGGCCAGGTTCCAACCCGCTACCCTAGGTGTATGTGGCCGCTGCCCTGCTAACTGAGCTACAAGTGCCACCAACATCACCAGTCTTTAGAAGAGAAATGCAAGTCAAAACCTTGAGAAAAAAAGAACACCTTACACCGTTCACAACAAAATAACAAGTGTTGAGGAAGATGCAGAGAAATTGGAACCCTGTATACTGCTTTTGGGAATATTAAAATGGTGCAACCAAAGTTAAAAATGGAATGCTATATGATGCAGCAATTAGATGTACCCAAACAGAATCTCAAGGAGATATTTGCACACACAGTTGTAGCACCATTGTTCAAATAGCCAAGAAGTAGAAGAAACCCAGGTGTCTGTCAATGAGGGATGAGTGGTTAAACAAAATGTGGGAATTCTGGCATGCTACAACATGGATGAACCATGAGGGCATTATACCAAGTGAAATAAGCCAGTCACACAAGGGGACAAATTCTGTATGAAGCAGCAGCTACTTACTGCATGAGAATGGCTTGTATATTTAGTCTTTTGAACTTCATTCCTTTATAGCAGCAATTCTCAAAGTGGACCTCAGAAGCCCTAGGACTCTTTCAGGAGATCCACAAGGTCAGAACTATTTCCATTAAGGGTAATAAGTTGCTAATTGCCTTTGTATTAACATTTATGTTAATATATGCATGGAAAGTGCAAAAGCAATTTTAAGTAAAAAAGCTTGGGACCTCAGCACCCCACAGTACTATTAATCTGTATTCATCACTGTCATGCTCTCAAAGTTTGTGAAACACCAGTTTTAAGGATATCCTTAAAAAAAGAAGAAGAATGTCCTTAAGCAATTCAGGCCACACCTGGTGGCTGATGCCTATAGTCCCAACATTTTGAGAGGCCAAATGGGAGGATCACTTGAGCCTAGGTGTTCCAGGCAGCAGTGAGCTATGATCATGCCACTGCACTCTAGTCTGGGCAGTAGACCTAGACCTTTCTCTTATAAAAGAAAACTAAAATCCTTAATCAGTACAAATAATTGATTTTATTACATTTCAATGTCTTTGTCTATAAATATATATATACATATATACATATATATATATATATATTTTTTTTTTTTTAGAGACAGAGTCTTATTTTGTTGCCCTCGGTAGAGTGCTCAGTTGCTACAGCAACCTCCAGCTCTTGGGCTTAGGCTATTCTCTTGCCTCGGCTTCCAAGTAGCTGGGACTATAGGCACCTGCCACAATGCCCACTAGGTTTTGTTGCAGTTTGGCTGGGGCCGAGTTCAAACCCGCTAACCTCAGCATATGGGGCCGTGCCCTACTCACTGAGCCACAGGCACCGCCCAATAAAAATATTTTTAATATTGTGACAACAGAGTAGTACAGAGCTTAAAGTGGTTGTCTCAAAAACTGGTGTAATTGAGTACAGAGCTGGCCTACTTGCTTTTTGACAGAATACTATTATTACTAGAAAGAACATCTGACAGCATGGTTATTCAGATGTAGGTAACTGGCAGAATTTTTCTTAAAAGTACAAAGTGAGGGTGGCGCCTGTGGCTCAGTGAGTAGGGTGCTGGCTCCATATAGCGAGGGTGGCAGGTTCAAACCTGGCCCCAGCTGAACTGCAACAAAAAAATAGCCAGGTGTGTGGCAGGCACCTGTAGTCCCAGCTACTCGGAAGGCTGAGGCAAAAGAATCACCTAAGCCCAAGACCTGGAGGTTGCTGGGAGCTGTGTGATGCCACAGCACTCTACTGAGGGTGACAATGTGAGACTCTGTCTCTAC